AGTTAAATCTTCTAACTTAGAAAATCTACTAATTCAGGATTTAATAGCCAAAACAATCCAGGAGTACTCTGAAAACTCTCAACTACTAAAAGGGATCTCAGGATATCTACCTAGCTTCCATTTCTTATGAATTTAGAAAGCCCAAAATTATTCTGCACCCATTCTTACAGTGATTTGGAACTGCAGGTGTTAATACAGCTGAGATAAGAATGCTACTGACAGATCAAAATGAATATACAAATAAGTTCTCATCTTAGTAAATACTCTATGAAAGATTTTAAATTTATACATGTACATGTTAACTAAGGCTATACCTATATTCATAAAGTTGTTTTTACTTTACAACTATAAAAAGCAACTGTAAACTTGTTTTTTAAACAAGACGCTTAAGTTAATTTCTTTTCAAATAAAATACTGAGACTGAACAGGATAATAGTACCAATTATTTTAAAAATACATCAGTGCTACATACTGTATTGATACTTACAAAATACGTTCTTTTTTCAGTTTGGTTACTTTTACTTGTAAACCTGAAAGGTAAAAAGAAACACCCAGATGTTTTATTTATACATTTTACTATTTCTGAGTTACTTATCCAAATTCCCTTATGAGTCAAATGCTACACTACTAAGGCACTTAAGTCTGGCCTCTGAATAATGAACCAGGTCCCAGGGAACCAGAAAATGTATTTATTTTTACCCTGAGGTCACAAAAGTATACAGGCAACATTACTGCTTTTTGTCTATATATGACAGTCAAGTAGAAAGAAAATTTCCCCACTTACAGTGAGTTATTTCCTTTCTTACTATCAAGGAAAAACATATAATTAAAAGTTCACTATAAATGAAGGCCTATGTTCTGATACAATCCACAAATGCTAACAGCAATAGTGCTTATATAAGTTTAAATCTTTTAGGATTAAACTGAATTGTAGCAAGAAGTCTTAGATTAAAGCAAAACTGCTTACATCAAAGTACTTACCAAAGGGCAGTAACATTTTTATCTCAATATACTTACTACTTCTTAAAATTTTAATTAAGCCTGGCACAAAACAAAAAGGTGACCACTGCTTTTGGGACTCAAGTAGCTACTGAGAAAAAAGCAGACTGAAGGCACTGGAACTGCACAGGACAAGGACAAAATAGTGTAACATTTCTAATTTTCATATGAACGAAAGAAGCCAAACAGCCAATGAACACTAAAATATACCCACTTCAATTAGCAACTAAATTTAAATGCAAATCAGAACAATTGCATAAGAATTCTAAAAATTATAATAACCAGTCTTTATTTGTAAAGCTATATATGCTTCATTACTGGACATATTAGAAATTGTACAATGCAACACAATTTATCAATATGTCACGGTGCTTTTGGCAATAACTCATTTTATCTATTGAGCAACCTGTAAACAGAAATATAAATGTATTATACCATCTGGACAATCTGATTAAAACTACTTCAGAACATATACACTAACATACTGCAAAGAATCACACCAAAAGTTAAATATTGGTTGAATTTTTCTAATTGAATATAATTAGAAAAATATATATATATCTGTGCCTTATTTTCTACATGATTAAGATAAGGAGAAACATGGAAACATGCAGTGTTTTATTTTTTAATTCTTAAAACCAGTGCTTTTAAAAAATCATGACAAATAAGTACTCAGACAAGGGTCTGCTCTCTAGAATCTTTATAAAGAACTAAAAAACACAGGGCCCCAAAATTTAAAGACCCAATCCAGAAATGGGCATCTGAGATGAACACAC